ATGAGTAATAAAGGTGTTTGAGTTTGAGAATCATTTTTCTCTAATGCTGATACAATATCCTTTTGTTTTTCCTTAATTCTTTGGTCTGGTTGGTTTCAGGATCCAGAGGACAGTACACAGTGACTCAGACTCCATCAGTGGTATCTGCTGTCCCAGGCAGCACAGTGACCCTGAACTGTAAACTCGGTACTTCAGATAGTGCTGTATCCTGGTACCAGGTCAAACCTGGAGAAGCTCCTAAGCTTTTAATATATAGCATAAACAGTCGCCACACTGGGATTCCAGCGAGATTCAGTGGATCTGGATCTGGGACTGACTTCACTCTACAGATCAGTCAAGTCCAGCCCGACGATGCCGCTGATTACTACTGTTTTGATTGGTTTACACTTCCACACCTCACACTGTGATATATAGTGATTCAAAAACCTCCCTAATCCCGCTGCCCAGTTCCTGCTCTGTGAGATCAGTCAGAGAACAAGCTCTAAAGGAAATACAGAGGATTTCATTTCAGTGTGGATTTTACAATCATCTCTACTTGTGCTTTGGATGTTTTGGGATCTGGAAAAGATGATCTTCTCCTTTGAGACCTTTCATCTCCTACATTATTCTGCGTAGGGTAAGTCAGATGTTTACTTTATTTTTATTAAAAGTTTTAGAAATTTTTATTCTGTTTGCATACAATTTAAACATAATTAGTATTCTCATGATAAATACATGTTTTTTATGAATATTTACACAGGTACATGCAGTACCAGACAAAAGTTTAGACATACCAAGCCACCTCATTCATGAGGAGAGCACCTCATAGAGACAGTAGGGTCAGCCAGTCCCTGGAGTAATTGGGGTTAAGGGCCTTACTCAAGGGCCCAATGGACCAATCACTCTGCCGACCCAGGGATATGAACCGGCAACCTTCTGAGTCCCAACCCATAGAACAGAGGGACAGTCAGGTATGTTTATATGAAAGGGAATGTGAGACAGAGAGGGACAGTCAGGTATGTTTATATGAAAGGGAATGTGAGACAGAGAGGGACAGTCAGGTATGTTTATATGAAAGGGAATGTGAGACACAGAGGGACAGTCAGGTATGTTTATATGAAAGGGAATGTGAGACAGAGAGGGACAGTCAGGTATGTTTATATGAAAGGGAATGTGAGACACGGAGGATTATGAATGTTGACAGGACCTGGCATGAAAGGAGTCGCTGAGGTTTTTGTACAGCCACTAAACGGGGCTGAAACACTGTGCTCATCTTCGGGGGGGGCACGAGGCTTGATGTTGGAAGTAAGTATCCACTTTATTTACCGTTATGGTACCATATTCTGTGTCTGTTTCACAAATATCATCAAGACTATGAAGAAAACACCAGAATTTTAGTTATTTTCTCATCTTTATGCCAGTGTTGTTAGTCAGTGTTACTGCAGTGCTGATGTCTTGAGCAATGCTGAGCTGAACTGTTCATGAATGCAAGGCGGTATCTATTATTTTACTAAAAGCTAAATAGGCAGCAGTATCACTCATAATAGGCTGTATGCATTTTTCTTTTAAAGGCAAATACGTAATTACAAAGTAGCGCACCTGGACTCAAGAATTATTTTTATTTGTGATAAATTTTTTGTGATTCTATATTTTATCTACAGTTCAAAAGGTAGAATCCTTCGATATATATTTAAAAAAAAACAGAACGTGAATTCCTTTACGTACCAAATTAGCAAAGACTACATTTATAAATCTAGGAATCATACGAACCTGACAGTTACACGCAGCATACATGCCTTACACGCACGCACAATCTCTCTTTTGGTATAACTTAACTTTTACAGTTTTATTATCCACAGCAACTGTTCGCATGATATGTCTAGTTTTCCGTCTGGTTTTAGTATTCTTTTTAAAAATATATAAACTGGACTGAGCTGTCAGTTAAATCAAAATTAAAGTATATACACAATGTGAAAACTAATTTTCAAGTGGTGCTTAGATTTTTTATTATGAATAATTGTAACAATGACAATTGACTAGATGTGTTTTAATGATGTTTCTCGTTCTTCCGTTTTGTAAAGTTTTCCTGTTTTCCTTTTACTTTTACAATTGGAAAAAAAAAGTTCATTCATGTTATTAATTGTTACTTGTTCTTAGCATTTTAACAATCCAATCACTGATAAACTGATAAATATATTTTAATTTCTCTTTATATATAATAATGGAAAGATATTTAATTTTATTTAAAAATGAGGTGAAAAGCTACAAAGTAATTGAAATATAGACCTTGCTTCACGCAGTACATTTTCAACATTAGGTCTTCACACGACATAATTACTACAAAAAGAGACTTTTCTGTTCGTGAATATAATGAAATTAAATCTCTCAGTTCCTCAAAAAGGATAAAGCTGAAATTCTGAATTCAGGGGTTTGCTGCCCATCAGTTGATTCTGTTAAGACTCAGCCATGTCACTGTAAGCCTAGTTTATAATGAATCTGCCCATTTGCTGTTCTAACCTCCTTCACATGAATCATTCTGTCCCCCCAGAAACCACTGTCCCGACCCTCACAGTGCTGCCCCCTTCTGGCCAGGAGCTCTCCAGCAAGC